ACTGCCTACCCAATGCCTGTTCCTGTTCATTTCTGTTACTTAAATCAATAGGCTCTTCATTGTACCCATCAAAGTGTACCTGTCCCGTCTTACTTCCACTTTGCTCGATATTGCCCTCTAAAAGTATTCTTTCTAAAAATATTTTTATTCCTTTGAAAACATCTCTAAAAAAGTATCGATTACTTACGAATGATATGCCTAACGAATTTTGGCTTCCGCTTACTTTGGACCGATCCATTTCGAACTGTCACCAAACCACCAAATTCTTCATTCACTGAAATGTTTCAATTTATTCAATGCTTCTCAACTTATTTTCTCGCTTTGAACAAAAGATTTCTTTCAGATTTCATTGGTTCTATCAATTTTTTGCCACATTAGTATGTCTGATCTATAAATTATCTTTCTTACCGTAATCCTCTGTTGCCATCTTCCTGTTTAGAAATTAATAAAATTTGTGTTAATATATTCCGATGATATCGATTATCAAAAAAACCATACTTCTGTTTCGGACGATTTCTACTCTATTTCCGCTTTTGCTTTCTGTAGTTGCAGTAGAAGATTCACCTTGCATCGGTAACTCTGACTCACGAATTACTTTCCCCTGCATAATAACTGCATCCTGTAAATTCATCATGCATATTAGTATGTTTGTAAATATCGCTACGTCTCAATCGTTCTGATATATCATCAGGATGGATTGGAATTATTCGTCATTTCAATGGATTCGAACACTTATTGATACTTACTTCTATATTGGCATTTCCAGCTTCTTCCACGTTGTACATGGTTGTGGTAGGGAGTTGCTTTTGCATTTCATTTGTTTCTTCCAATGATACCATCCCAAGCTGAAATCAAACTGTGAAAATCATCACTGAATCAACAAATTCTAATCAACTTGGAATATTTTTCAGCTACTATGGAAACATTGCTATGGAGTAGAATAGTTGCGGAAGAAGATAGTGTTAATAAATAGCAATCGATTTGTTCCTATTCCTTCCCCGAAAAAATACCTTTTGAAATTTCATCACTTGTTTCATCACCAGAAAATGATTGTTAATTCTAATCCTCAAAAGGTGTCTTTAGAAGTTTAATATTCCTTTTTAATAAAAAAGAATTTTTTATTAAAAAGAGAATAAAGAAATAATTATTAGTTAAGTTTGAAAAATAAATAAAAGCTATGAGTTTCTCCAAACAAAAAAAAAATCTTATTATGGATTTAAGTAATTTCAAAAATGATGTTAGACTTTAAAAATTTTAATTATTTACATCGGAACTCGAATATATATTTTTCAACAGAGCTTAATTTTTCATGCCATTCAATTAATAACAAAAGCTTTTTTGAGAAAACAAAATTTCTAAAGTCAAATATAAAATATGAATGCAAAAAAGTGGACGGATTACGGTAGCCGAAAGAGAGTTTTCACAACCGTTCAGATTGCCGGTGATGAGTGGTCAATGAGAAGCACGATGGTCAGTTACCATCTGTTCCTCATTGACCACTTAGCACCGGCAATCTGAAGCATTATTCTCCTCCACCGTTGACCTTTTTCATAGATTTGTATAGATGATGAGAAAAGAAGTGAAAGAAAGGTAAGGTCATTCTTTACAGGTCGGAAAATCTAACAAATAACCTGTCATGATCACTAAATTAAATTTTACAGGAACGATTGGAAATTTTTTGAAAGCAGGAATTTATTCCATTATATGGGGAATGAAAAGAAGGTTTGTTTGGGAAATGGTCTAACAACTATAATTCTTTTCTCCGAAAAGAAACAAGTAAAGATTAGCTTTTTCTCTCAAGTTAAAAGAATGATGAACCCACAATTCTTTTTGCTCATCCGAAATGAAAGCTAGAAAAATAAATGTGAGGGATGAGATTATTTAAAAAATACATTCAGTTTATTCTCGATAATTCAGTTTTTTTCATGGTAGATAAGTAAAATTATCGAAATCGCAGCAGCTCTTTTGATTGAAAGGAATAAGTAAACATTTGAAGAGCACATTAAATGAGTCCATTTATATTTTCCATGGATGGAATCATCAGTCATCAAGAAATACCTATCTGCACATTTGATTTGATCATACGATTCGATTTGACTCTATCAATCCTTTATGTCAGGGGTTATAGTACTATGTAAGGCAACTTCTGTCTCATTGTTGCCCATACTTTTAAATATAGACTTTCGGCTAAAAGAAGGCTTGCTTGGGAAATGATCTAACCACAATTTTTCTTTTCTTCGAGGCAAAGGTCAAGCGAACCTTTTTTTCCTAAATATCAATTGTATGGTTAAAAGAGTTGGGAACTTACATATCCGAAATGAAATTTCGTGGAAAAATGAATGTGAAGAGTGAGATTATTGCAAGAAAAATATGAGAATTCAGTTTATAATTACATTATCTCCTAAGTAATTTGGTATACTTCCAGTTCAAACATGATTGTGTACATCGCCAAACATAAATAATGAGGATTTAATTAAGAATTCTGAGTTCAAATTTATGGTCACACTACAAGAAATAACCAATTCTAATTGGTTGTTTTTGTAGTGTGACATAAATTGTCAACATGAGTGACATATCATGTCACTCATGTTGACAATTTATGTCATTACAAGAAACACAAAAAGACAATTCGCATACTAACAAATTAAGTCGTTCTTTGTTACATTGCATACTGTAAATTACATTTTTTATTGATGAGCTTATTTGTAGGAAATTATATATTCCACGAATTGCATATCAATGATTGTAAATAAAGTGAGATTCTGGAAAATTTAGTAAGGTCAAACTCAGAAATACGTCAAATGAAAATTACAACCAGCCTTAATATTGAGCTTGACCCTACTAAATCTTTTTCAGAATCTCACTTTATGTTCCGACTTGTTCTAATGTTTTGATTCATCTTAAAAAAAGATCTTGAAATTTTCCTTAAAACAAACATTTTAAGAATACCAAAATAACTCAATAAATTCTAATAAATTTGATTCAATTACAATACAAATATGCTATTGATGTTTCGAACAAAATTCCTTAAGATAAGATAACTGTTATTTCAACAAGCAATTTAACAGATAATAGACAGAGGCATAATTAGTTAATCTATGATTGCTCCTTGCCTTTCAGAAAATGTGACCTCAAATTGGTAATATGATTGACAATCAAAGGGAGTCGAATTTCTAATTAAATTCTTAGTAATTCATTCTAGCGATGGTGTCGGTGCAAGAATGTATACAATCATATTTGGACCAAAACGAAATTACTTAAATGATGTGATTATAAACACTTCAGAGGAAAATCTAACCTCTGTCTATTTTGGATGTTCCGAGAAAGGAACTATAATTAAGTCATTTCCCAAAGAAAAAATCTTCTTGCAATTCATTTATTTACTTGAAATTCCTTCTTTTTCTTCGAAAAATTGGAACAACGAAGCGGGACAATGTTAGAAATATGGAAAATGATGAGATAGAAGCTATTTTAGTTTCTGTAAGTCGATATAGAGCGATCCATGAGCCAAACACATCTTTCCTCATTTCTAATTATAGGCTCATGTCTTATTCTAATTTAAATGATAAAGCTGAATATATTCGTTACAACAGAAACAAAATTCCCGACTCTGAATCTTAGTGAATATATATGCCTGAAGTTTTCAGAACCCCTTAAAATCTCCATTTTTTCGTAATTAAATTAGGAGATTGGCCTTTCTGCACTTTCATGCCTTACTCAAAGTGTTCATAAAACATCTGAAATTAGTCAGAATGATTTGAAATATTATTAATTATTTGATATGATATTTTCGAAACTTCGATCAAATGAGATGAAAAGAAGAATTCACCAATTAAACCATAATCCGATGAATGCATTATGAATTTCAACATACTTCCGCTTGCGTTTAATTTATCAGATAAATTTATTTCTGTAATTCATTTTTCTCCATCAATCTCATCAAATCAAAAAAAAAAACAATGTCATTAAAAACGTATGTCATATTAAAAAATTCAATTGCTGAAGAGAATATTGGCTTGCCTGAAATAAAGATTAATTTATTCCAAATTTCAAAATTTTTCTTAATCTTATGTGTAAATTTCAAGAAATCTGGGACTAAAGAGAATATAGAAACCGAATTCGAGAAATCTAGACACATATTCTTGGTTCGTAACATCAGACCGTTCATTATTTGGTGTTCCGCTGCAGAGCAAAAGTGTACGTCAAAACAGTTTATAAAACCTGGAAAAAAATTAAACAAACTTTGTTACAGACGGATCTTTGGCTCTTCAGAGATTAATTATTAGATAATATTATTGAGCAAACGAATACAACGGATCAGTGGGAACGAAAGATGTGATAATTTGCTGAATTATTTCAGAGGAAGAAAACTTTTTCGATGAACATCACTTTTTTGTTTTTTACCTTCAATCTAGTTGTTAATTAATGTGTATGAATGCGTATCATTTTTGAGAAATGAAAATAATTGAAAATATGTTAATGAATTTCGGATGAAAGTGTAGCTAACTGTAAACGAGTGGATCATCTCGGGAAATATATTAAATGGATTTAGCAAATAAGAAGGAAATTATTAGACGAATTTAAATTATGTATGTTTAAAACATAATAAACTCGTCATATTTAGAGTTACTTATGAAAGATATAGCACTTGAAATGAAAAAATATTTGATTTAATCCTCACTTATTTCGTTCATTGTGATTCAAATTTTAAATTTCGAATTTTGCCCATAAAATTAGCAAAAAAACATAAATGCACTTGTGATGATAACAAAAGCAACAAATAAAACGATCCAAAATAAACAAAAAATTGTTCACGGGTAATTATGTGAAAATTATACTTTATTTGAACTGCGAATTTAATTGTAAATAATTCATTAAATTATTCATTGATAAATGAAGAATGAAAATTGCACTTAAAAAACATGATACGAGCGCCAAGCAATGGAAGGATCCAATGGAAAATAATCGATTAACAGATCTGAGTGGAATTCTACAAGCATGCCGGTAATAATCACGTATTAATACAGCTTTTCGCGATATTTCTTTGCATTACTCTAAATGATCGTTTGGAATCTATTGATCTCCTCTGAGTGAGGGATGTTCAGAGGATAGCGCTGAATTTGAATGTGCTACGTGAAAGGTATCATAATTATTCGTTCTTCGCATTATTAGAAATCTCACTGCAGTAGATTTTCTAATAAATTATTAAGAGTGAGGTAGAAGTATGATCTACCTCTACAATTTGAATTCAATTACGGCAAAATAGTATAATCAATTGAACTGGCTTTTTAAACGCTTCCATAACGGCAATTATTTAGCCGTATTAATGGCATTTTCGCAAAAGCTTGATGAATTTGCCTATTCTTTCGCAGTTTTGTAAGGACTATTTTTCTGGGAACGGTATAGAATAGCGACGAATGTCTAACATTCAGGATGTATTTGCTGAAGTATTTGGGGAATCGATCTGTTATCCTTTATGCATTACAGGAACATATATGCGAGATTGCTTATATGTCCACGTGAGAATGCCTACAATGTATAAGTTGGAAAAGGAAGACTATTCAAAAAATTTGAAAACGACAAATTAAATAAGTTGAACATGAAATTTAAAAAATCAGCCGATTTCCGAATGTTATGCTTTTATTTCAATTACAGTATCATAAACATTGTGTTATGTTGTGATACATTCCTACCTGAATATATCTTCCTTTATAAATTACATTCTAAGTTCAGAATTCAACTGATTCAACACACCGAAAATTGATTTCAACAAATATTTCATCAATTTTTCGTTTTTGGTTTTAAATCCGGTAATTTGAAAACAAAAAATTATCAGAAA